CGTAGGGACATGTAAATTGATTTGGAGCTACCAGCATCATCCAGAGTTTTCCATAAACAAGGTGTTTAGAATTTAGGCACTGGTCCTGTTCCCTCTTCCAGGTTTGGATCTTTTTATTTGCAATCATCGAATCACATAGGCTGGTGTGCTTTATCATTGTGAATTTAGCTGACCCTCACTTGGATGGCTGCTTGTTATGAATCAAGCCTTGACAGCCTCATACTCTTTATTTTCATAGCTGGGCACCATCACTCACGTCTTCAGTGATTTCCTCATGTGGGAAAATACCAGTCAGGGACATGGAACGAACCAATTGTTCTTACATTAGGGCTATGATCAAGTGAGAGCTCAAAATCCATTCATAAAACTATTGTTTCTATAAGTCCCTTTTGGAGACATCATTGTCATTTTATTGTAGTAAGCATAGTCATCGTAGGTCTTCCCTGTGGATCTTAACATTGTTTTAGTCAACAATGTTGAGCACAGGATTTTACACATGTATAGGACTTCTTATCAGATTCCAATACATACATTTCTAATTTGTATACCATCAAAATGTGGGTGACTGGACACTAGTGATACATGGCATGAGGGTTTGAGATATGGCAAAATTGTTTTAGTAACACTCCTTTTTGTGGGTGGAAACATGCCTGGCAGACTAACACGTGTCACATAAAAGCAGAGAGAGCAGGCAAAGAAGCAAATGTATATTGATCTCAGGTTCCCATTCATTGGGCACTTTCAGAGTAATAGTTCTGAACCCACCCAAAGTCCAATGACACCGGTTCCTTAATCTTCAGATAGAAATCCTCTACTTCTTCCACTAGGGCATTTCAGCTCAGAATTCAAGGGATTATTTCCATTCTTGGTTTTGTTCTATGGTAACAAAAATGTTTAAGGTAAAGTCCAATTCACTTAGTGGAATTTCTAATTGAGGTCCTTCTGGCATGGTCTATGAGGAATTCAAAAAAATATTTACTGCCTTCTAGTTGATATCAACCCACAGCAACTCTACAGGCCAGGCCAGAATTGCTCCTATGGGTTTCTGAGACTAATTCTTTACAAAAAGCCCCATCTTTTCCCCTATGAAAGAAACATAGAGTATAATGTCTGCATTGTCTATAGGAGATTGCCTGTGCCATCAGGGGTTGGTTGGGAACTTGGTTGACAATTCCAAGTTAGGAACATAATATTGGGGTCTCTACCAGCAAAGTTAAGGTTTTGTTGTTTCCCCCACCGCACCCCGATGGCTGAACAACATACTTGGACCACCCACTATCAGAAGTGCAATTGTTCACTCCAATACAGACATAACTCCACCTCCTATTGATCCAATCTCCTAGTCAAGTTCACCCTTGTAGAATTGTCTGTTAGTTTGGAGTGACTGCAGAACACTGCTAGATGGCAGGACTTACTTAGTCGTCTCATTCTCCCTCCACCATAGGAAACTAACCCCATCTGTAGCGAAACTACCTTCCATGAAGTCATTTTTAAGGTGTTCGAATGAAGGAGTGACATATAAATTATGGGAGCTAGATAGGGAAATTGCCTTTTGCTTGGGTAACCAGACTTTGTCTTAGTTTATATCCTTAGAGTAGTAGACTCATACAACATTTGTCCATTAGTGACTGACTAACTTCACACAGCATAATGGTTTCAGAGACCTTCACGTCGTGAGGGGTTTTGTGGTTTCATTGATTTTTTTAAGGATGCATAGTATTCCATTCTAGGTATTTCTCTATACATTTTCATTTATCCATTATTCATCCATTCATGGGCATTTAGACTATTCACAGCTTCTTGCTAGTGCTAATAGTGCTGCTATGAACTTGGGGAAACATATGGTTGTTCGTGTTCTTTCTCTTATTCTTTTGTGCATGTGCCCAGCAGAAGTATTGCTGGGTCATATGCTATTTCTATGCCTAGTGGTTTTAGGAAGTGCTGTATTATTTTCTGTGTGGTCGTGCATGTTTAAATTACAACCAGCAGTGTATGAGAGTTCTGATCTCTCTATACCCTGTCTAGTATTTGTTGTTCTGTTTTGTTCGTTTGTTTTGTATTGGGTTATCAATGTGTGTATAAGGTGATATCCCATGATTCTTTGATTTGCAACTCCCAGATGGCTAATGATTGTGAGAATTTCTTCATGTTTCTTCTCTGGTGAATTTGCTATTCAAGTGTCTTCTCTGGTGAATCTGCTATTTATGCCCTTTGCCCACCTTTTAATTGGATTATTTCTTTTCTTCTTGTTGAGAAGTTGCAGAATTCTATAAGTTTAGTCATTAGTCCCTTGTCTGCTGTGTTGGGTATATGGCACTCCATTGCTTCTTGCCTGCATAATGTCTGCTGAGAAGTCCGAGCTTATCCTTATTGGTTTTCCTTGATAGGTGACTGTTCTTTTTGCCTTTTCCTTGAAGTTGGATAACTTGACTACAATATGTCTTTGTCTTTTTATTATAGGGGCTATCCTACTTGTGGTTTTCTCATCTACCTGAATAGTTATTTTCTCCTCCTTTGTGATATTTGGTAAATTCTCTTCCATGAATTCTTGTACTGTTTTCTCTGTAGATTTTTTGTTGTTGTTGCTTCTTCTTCTTCTGGGAACCTGATGAAACATATATTGTCTCTTTATGTGAAACATAAATTGTTTCTCAAAATGTCCCCTAGATGCTCAGGACAAGATATTGAGTATGCAATGGACTCCTCAGACCTGACCTTTAAGGGATATTTGCTGAAGATGTAACTTTGGGAGTTAGCATGAAAGAAGTCTGGATGAGATCCATTGGGGAATGAATGTAGATAGCAAAGAGAGGTGCAATTGAGATCAGATCCCTGGATGTTCCCATATGAATGCAATGTGAAGAACAGAGGGGTCCAGCACAGGGGCGAGTGCAGAACAATGGACAGGTAACTTGGAGAAAACCCAAGGGAGTACTATGCTGAGGTTAAAGAAAGAAGATGTTGAGTGAGTGGGGAAACGGTTCTGACAAGTAAATTCAGAAAAGAACCAACCACTTGGCTTACCATCGACGGGTCAACAGTACAACTGGTCAAAGTCTGAAAGAAGACTTTGGATGGGTGAGAATGGGAATCACAGAGTGGGCTCAAGAAAGGAGGGAAGCAGAGGCACTAGAATAGTGCCAAATCTTCAGATATTTTTTGCAAAAGAAATAATATAGCAGTATCATGTAGGAGAATCATTTTGTAAAAAATGGGTCAAAGGGAGAAACAAATGGTAAGATGTTAAATTTTAACCTAACTATATCTGCAATAATTCACATTCAAATGTACTGTTTCTGAGACTAAATCTATTGACATCCTTGGTCAATGGATCAAGGGAATTCAGTAGAGGCTTAATCCATGTGATGGCTCTGTAAACGGATTTTGACCCATTTTTAACTTGTTCTTTCTCCTTCTTCTTTGGTTTCCTTTTTATTGAATTTTTTCCTGTGTTTTATTTTGTTATTGTTGCTGGGATCTTTTCTGTATATAAAATTCACAATAGGTAAATCTAGGTAACTAGATAAATAGTTTCTTAGGGTTATAATACAGGGAGGTTATAAGGAAATGGGGAGCTAACAATAATAGATACAAGAATGAACCAATGTTCTAAAGTTGATTGTGGTAATGAACACACAACCCTTTTAAATGTATTTAAACCATTGATTTGTATAGTATGTGAATTATATGCCAATAAAATTGTTTTAAAAATGGCTTCAAGAATTTTAAAGTAAAAAAAGGACGAACATTTTGTGGAGCACCTTTTCAAACCTTTCTATTAGCTTCTACATGGCCTTCGCAGGAGGCTGATCTACCTATTCCACAAAGAGAGGACTCCTGGTTAGATTTGAGCATTGGGAAAAACCTTTCCTTGGGCAGCCTTACTCCCAAAAGATCTGCTAGGACCAACAGTGAATTGAACAGATTATTAATATGAGGTGACTCACAATTGGGTAAAGGTCTTCTCAATGTGTACTTTATGTTGCTTCCAGAGCTCATTTAAGTAAATTATTATATTCAACTCTTTCAAACCTCCTTGATGTTTAATATTTAAACACAGACATCACTATCACCTTTACCCTGAAACTGATGTGAATCTTTTGCTTCTCCCCAGGACAGAAATGACTTTCTATTTTAAAATTCTACCAAGAAATTGGACTGTGCTTTAAGGAAGAATATTTATCACCAGTTGTCAAAACTGAAATGCTAAACCCATCATAATTAGAAAAAATTATTATGGAATTTTGGTAGCTAACGTATTATACATGCTAACAAATTATAAGAACAGCATAAAAGAGAATTTTAACTCTAATCTGAATTCCATATCCAGCCTAAAGAAAATCTCTTGCAACATAGAGGGCCATAAGAAAATAACAGAAGAAACAAACAAATAAAATCAAAGCATATCCAGTTGTGTTAAGAGGTGAAACATCTCTTCATTGAATTATATGCTTTATAAAATGCAAATCATGAACACTTAATAAATAAAATCAGTAATTATTATACTGATTATTATACTGAATATGATTATTATCTTGGAAAAAACAAAAATATCAAAATGTAAGAAAAAGTTTCTATTACCAGCAACGAAGAAGCTAGAAATGAAAGCTTAAAGGATTTATATGCTAGCTTTTATTTGTGAATTTTCAATAATCTTTGTTTCTCACTCTATGTATGAAAAGTTGTACAACATTTAGCAGCAGTAAAATAGGTTGATATAAATATGGCCAGTGGTAAGTAATCCTACACAGTTTTATTAGCAAAACAAAACAAAACAAAACATTAAATTACATAATATAGCCCTAACCACACACCTTTTTAAAAAAATTCTCATTTTTCAATCAGTTATTTTGCTTCCAATATTACCGCAGCATCCTAGTTAGTTTAACACACACCATGAAAGAGCTCCTTATCCACCTGTTTTAGGTATTATGGGTTAAGGTTGGGTAGGGGGATGAAATCTTATTTAGGAAGATAGACTTCTTTAGGTTAATTCCTACCTGAAGGGGTGGTCAGAGTTTCTGTGGTGTTTTTGAGGCCTGTGAAGTCAAACTGATAAAGGCGCCATGATTTCTGGTCAGCTGCCTCAACTGAATTTTTCCTCCATCTATAAATCATTTCTTCCTTGGGATATCCATCTAAAAAGAATCAGAGTAAATATTAACATTTTAAGAAATAAATTTATGAAATATTAAAGTGAAAATTATAATTCTGATCTCCCAGTGGAAGATATAATATTAAGTCACAATTTTTCTTAAAAACATAAAACCACATGGAAGAAGCACACCAGACTGTGCGATCACGAGGTGTCGAAGGGATCAGGTATCAGGCATCAAAGAACAAAAAATCTTATCACTGTGAATGAGGGGGAGTGTGGGGTGGAGACCCAAAGCCCATCTGTAGGCAATTGGACATCCTCTTACGGAAGGGTCACGGGGAGGAGACCAGCCAGTCAAGGTGCAGTGTAGCAACGATGAAACATACAACTTTCCTCTAGTTCCTAAATGCTTCCTCCGCCCCCCACTATCATGATCCCAATTCTACCTTACAAATCTGGCTAGACAGACAGGGTGCGATGTAGCAACGATGAAAAATACAACTTTCCTCTAGTTCCTAAATGCTTCCTCGCCCCCCTCCCCCCCACTATCGTGATCCGAATTCTACCTTGCAAGTCTGGCTAGACCAGAGGATGTACACTGGTACAGATAGGAACTGGAAACACAGGGAATCCAGGACAGATGAGAGAGTGGTGAGAGTGGCGATACAGGGAAGGTAGAGGGAGGGTGAGGTGGAAAGGGAGAACCGATTACAAAGATCTACATATAATCTTCTCCCTGGGGGACGGACAACAGAAAAGTGGATGAAGAGAGACGTCGGACAGTGCAAGATATGACAAAATAATAATTTATAAATTATCAAGGGTTCATGAGGGAGGGGGAGCGGGGAAGAAGGGGGAAAAATGAGGAGCTGATGCCAGGGGCTAAGTGGAGAGCAAATGTTTTGAGAATGATGAGGGTAATGCATGTAGAAACGTGCTTTATACAATTGATGATGTATGTATGGATTGTGATGAGTTGTATGAGCCCCTAATAAAATTATTTTTTAAAAAACCCATAATACCTCTCAAAATGAAAGTACAAATGCCACCTAATTTAGATGGTTCCTGATGCCAGTCCACACCATCAGTATAACATTCCTCAGTCATCAGCCTGGCTATGTTAGGCAAGGTTCTTGAGAAGAACAAAGTCAGTGAAACTATGTATATTATGTAAGAAAACATTTGTTATTGTTAGATATTTTTTTTCTAGGCTTTGATTATAACATAGTGTATTGTGTCCTAGGCATAAGAATGGAACACTGCCCAGTCCCGTGTCATCCTCACAAATGTTGTTGTCTATGAGCTCTTTGTTGCAGCTACTGTGCCAAATCATCTTGTGGAAGATCTTCCTCCTCGTTATCCCTCCTTTTCTCTACTAATCCTAGTGTCCTCCTCTAGGGACTGGTCCCTCCTGACCACATGTCTGAAGTACACGAGAGGAAGTCTTGCTCTAAGGAGGAGTCCAGAGTTGCTTCTTCTAAGATAGTTTTCCCATTCTTCTGGCAGTCCGCGGTGTATTAAATATTCTTCACCGAAACCACAATTCAAATATACGCTTCAGTTTTCCTTATTCATTGACCATATGTCACATGTATGTAAATAAACAGGTATCTGATGAATAGATTAGGTATATTTAGATACATACATAGATAAAGATATGTTGTTAGGTCTCATTGAGTTTGCTCCGTCTCATTGACCCTATGTACAACAGAACAGAACACTAGCTGAGCCAGGGCCAGCCTCAAAACTGTTGCAGCTAATTGTTGCAGCCACTATATCGATATTTTTAAATCATTTTATTGGGGGCTCATACAACTCTTATCACATCCCGTACATCCATCCATTGTGTCAAGCACATTTGTACACTTGTTGCCATCATCATTCTCAAAACATTTGCCTTCTACTTGAGCCCTTGGTATTAGGTCCTCATTTCCCCCCTCCCTCCCAGTTCCCCGCTCCCTCATGAACTCTTGATCATTTATAAATTATTATTATTTTGTCATATCTTACACTGTCCGAGGTCTCCCTTCACCCATGTCCCCCAGGGAGGAGGTTATATGTAGATCCTTGTAATCTGTTCCCCCTTTCTACCCCACCGTCCTTCTACCCTCCTGGTATCACCACTCTCACCACTGGTCCTGAAGGGACCATCCGTCCTGGATTCCCTGTGTTTCCAGTTCCCATCTGTACCAAGTAACCCCTATATTAATCCATCTTCTTGGGAATATTCCTCAGGTAAATTGAATCTCGACTTTACCAAGCATGGAGCCCTTTTCTAGAAACTGGCCTCTTTTGATAACAATTCCAACCTACATGAGAAGTGTCACCATCATTGTTTCTTGGGAGCATTTTGGCTACGTTTCTTCCAAGATAGATTTTTTGTTTTAGCAGTCTATGGTACTTCTATGTTCTTCCATGGATCAGATTTCAGGCTAAAGGTTTCTTATTCACACCGCTGCAGAGACCGAGGAACCTAAAATCTGCAGGCTGGAGGGCAGGCTTCTGGCTCGCATATCTCAAAAACACAGAAGTCAGAGGCTGATGAGTCAGATGCAAGTTTGATAGAGTGAACTTTACCATGAAGGTCACACACTGAATGGATTTTACAATGATTGGATGCTCATATCAGATCACAGAATGGAGAATGATTATTATATTACATCGTTGAAGAGCTTTCATAGTTTAGCCAAGCTGACACCATCATTAACTACCATTGTCCAACCTTATCAACTTCTAACCTGCACACATCTCCTTTGACCATACATAATACCTAAATAAAGACAATTATAAAGTCATATTTGTATCTAACATGTTACAACTAACATGCATACAACAGGAAGTGTACCTGCCTCTGTCCTATTTACATTATAAATTAAAAACAATGTGATAAAGCATGCAAGAAATAAAAATAATATTTGCTCTGTGCTAATGTTTGTGCATATATTCACACACAAAGGGTTTTTTAAGTTGATGGAATAATGAAATGACAATACAATGGAATTTTTGAAGCCATCTCATATATGCACATTCACCTTTAATAAGGCAGAGAAGGAATATCATAGCAATTATAATCCCTTTTTCTGCAACTGGTAACATGGTCATCAATAATACTTGGAACTATCTTCTTGCACCCCCCTTTCTATGTTTCCTTTACCTTCACCAAGCACCTCTCAACTATTCACAGTATGACAGAGCAATTAATCAAATGTCTAACAAATCACTGAGAATCATAGTCTAGCCAAATTGACATATAACGTTATCAATCCCACTGGCATTTTCAGTATGTGTTGTTCTGTGAGCTGCCCTCAAGTTGGGCCTTTAATCAATGATGTGCATTCATCCAGTATTGTCCAGTTGTGTTCCACGGGGTTTTCGCTGGCTGATTTTACAAGACAGTTCACTGGGCCATTCTTCCTAGCTCATTTTAGACCAGAAGATTCACTGGAACTTGTCCAACATCATAACAATACTCGATCTGCACTGACAAATTGTTCGTGGCTATGCAAAGATGCATTAGCCATGCAGATACATGACAGACAATATTGTACCACTGAAAGAGTGATGTTATTTGATCTTGGAGTCATGTTTTGATTGAATTTCAGTAAGTGAAGGTTTCTTGGGAACCCTTTCAGACTAGTTGGACTGTATATATCACACTTTCCACCTTTTCCCAAACATTAGTCCATACAAGAGAGGAATTTAACTAGTCACATGATTCATAGTTCCAGTATATATCAATGGCTTTTTACTTCCTTACATCAGTCCCCATCTTGCTAATTACTTCAGGAAACAATGTCTTCAAGTTTCTTCCATCCTAGCCCCATGTGTTGGCAATATACCCAGAGCCAAGGAATCCAGGACAGGTATTTTGTTTCTCTAATCATGGTTTTTAATCCAGTTTCCATTGGTACTGTGAATCGGAGCCAGATGTTAGACAAATACTAGTTTCTTTGCCTGAACCTCTACTCTCCAATCCATAATCTTCCAGAAACTCTATGGAGAGCATCATTAGCTCTGTACTGGAGCTCTTTGACATCGGTGGCACTGTGCTGTCTCTAAATCTTAAAGCTGAGTCTGCATTACAGAACATGCCGTGTATCCAAGAGCAGGTCTAGAACGCATGTTGCGCCCTAGTACATGACAACATTTGTATTATTGCCCTCACAGAGTCATGGGGACATTGATTGTCTGGCTCTGGCAGGAATCTATTAAAAACCTGTAGGACATTATACTGAGTGAAACATGTCAATCACAGAAGAGTAAATATTGTATGAAAATTTATAAAATTAATTTAAAATCAAGAAAAGTGTTTCAGAATGACAAAAATTTTTGACGATTATCATGGGAAGTTTGGGTAAATTATTACCTAGAGTAGACATATATTAACTTGGGTGAAGAAGGCAAAAAATAAATTGAACAAAGTTATAAATACACAGTAAAAATCAAATTACCTGTAGATCTGAGAAAAAAGGAGAAATGGAAAACAGATGAGGAAATTTGGCCAAAAAAAGGTGGTCTTGAAAGACATACTACAAAAATCATGTCCAACAAAAACAGCAGAAAATTGATATTGAAGAAATATATAGAACCCTGCAACTCTGACGAGCAGGAGGAAAGCTGAGTGAACCAAACTGCCCTCACAGAAAATAAGCAAGTCACAAGGAACCGATAAATTCCTGGGGCTGTCAGTGCGGATGAGGGAAGGGTTCACTGTGCCACACCACCCTTCCCCCACTCCACCACACACCACTCCACACCACACACCCCACCACTCCACTCCACACCACTCCACACCACACCACAGCATACCACACCACAGCATGCCCCACACCACTCCACACCATACCACCCCACACCACTCCACACCACACCACAGCACACCCCACTCCACTCCACACCAC